GTGGGTGCGGGATATAGTTTTGCCAAAGGCCAATTGGCCGTGGCCTCTACCATTAATTACTACATGGTGGATTAATTTTGGGGTGATCATTCCGGAGTTCAAGAAACAAAAAAAAGGAAGAGAAGTAAACTAGTAAAGGGGGCCAACTTTTCCATGACTCCACTCAACTGCCCCCTTTTTGTTTTTGGGTTGCGCTTTGCACTTGCAGGTTCCCTTTCGAATGCGGGCAACAAGCCTCTCACGTCCATGGAATACCCCTCCTATTTTTGCCAAATGTACAAAGGCATTTCATTTTCAATTTCACACCAGTGGCAGTGCCGCAGTGGTTTGTGGGACACTCATTCCGGGCAAAAACGACACCACCTGCACTGCAGTGTAGTACTATTGTCTCAATTCCCACTCCCGGATCGATTGCTCGGTATTCTTACTCATATGCCTTCCTTCCTTAATTACTGGCTTTTCCTAGCTGGAGTACGTACGTACTATATTTTGTTACCCCCTTTTTTTTTGGTTTTTTTGCGGCGGGGGGTTGGGGTGGTGGCAACACTGGGGATGACTGACTAAATTGCCTGACATGCTTCGATCGTCAATGAGCAGTTTGAGAATGAAGCAAGCAAGTGCTGGCTCATAGTCATAGGGATAATAGGGGGATGGATCATGGATGGAATCCAATGAAATAACAGCTGGTTGGTGTTAGAGGATTAAGCAGGCCAGCAGGTGGCAGCAGGCACGCCCGCCGGAGGCTCTGATCAAAGCACACATATGCATGGGACGTTGCATATATATATATACTACTCCCTATATAGTAAGTAAGTACAAACTACAAAGTAGTAGTAGTAGTAGTAGTATATTATTGTTGTGGCTGGACTGGATAGTGGATAGTGGAGAGTGGAGAGTGGATGATAGTAGTGTGTCTCTCTAGTCTAGTATAGTACAGTAGTATCAAATTATCAATTTCCGTGTCCGTTTTTACTGTGAAATTCTGATGGTTGATTAAGAAAGTGACAGAAAGAAATAATTAGCAATGCATGTCACTCACCCCCAAATATTCCCCCTTTTTTTTTAAAATTTTTATTTTTTTCCGCTCTCTCTTCAATAGTATTTTACTGATACCCCACTCGACATCATTACCACGATCTCATCATTTCCAACTCCATGTGTTTTACTAATTTGTACACCAAGTACTACTAGCTAAAGTTGCCGTATATATTACCCCTTTTTTTTATTATTATTTTTAATTTTATATATATATATATATATATATATGGGGGATATATAATAGTTTTTTGTCATCAGCACTTTTTCTTTTTCCTTGGCCGGCCGGCTGCTTCTCAAAACCTAATTTGACATTTTGATTTCTTTACACGATCATAGAAAACTTTCTTACCTTTTATCATTGTATTTACGTCCCTCTCCGAATTATTAGTCTTCATCCCCACGCAGACTACTATGCTTGCAATTGAACTCCAATTGACTTCTGCCAAATTAAACCACCTTTTTCTTTTTTACCTTCTCAACCCCTCCCTCCCACCCAACAACAGGAGGGCCACCCCTCTCTCTCTCTCTCTCTCTCTCTCAACGGGCACACCCACACTCTCTCGCTCTCTCTTCCCCTCCTTCCCCCACCCCAAGTAACCAAGTAATTATAGTAGTATTAATTATTACTCCCTCTTTTTTTTTATATCTGACATTTAAGAAATTTGCTCTTAAGTACTTTTATCTGTCGTTGTATTATCCCCATGCAATATTAATTATTTTTTCATAATTTTGCCCTTTTATCTCTCTTTACCAATACAGGGCTCTTAATTACTACCCCTAGTAATTATTACTTCTCTCTCTGCTTTTAGCCTAGTAAAACAGCACTATTTAATACTCTAGTGAGAGAAAACATGAGTGAATTGGACAATTAATGAGGGTACAAAAGGAAAGTAGTGTATAGATTTAAACAATGAAAAACTTTTCTTAATTGGTGTGCAAAACCTTAAACGTCAGTTATAAAAAAAGGGAGGGAGTACATGCGTATGTTATGTTATTATGTACGTATACATGTGTTTTCAAGTGCAGAATTAAATTTGGCGTAGCACGTAAATATATAATCCCAATTTCAATTAACGCACGCATGCATGCATGCATGCCGGCAGCACATTGATAACCGGACGAATAAGATTGGCCGTAGCTGGGCGTTACTAGTCGTCGGTATAGAATATAATAGACATAATTGATAGTAGTTGTGTGGAGTTTTGTTTTGGCGCCAAAATCAAAATGGGTGGCGGCTGTAGCTCAGCTTCATGTTCATGGACGGCAGCCGTGCCTTCAGTCGACGAGGTTATAATCATAAAATCAATAATGCGCATTTGCAGTATTATAATAATAACACATCCCGGCGCGCGACATCGATCCTGGAGAGTTTAACCCATAAAATTCCACGCTCACTGCAGCGCAGAGTTTATTCCTCTGCATGGACGCGCCACGGTGTCTGTCTCTGTGTGCTCTGAGGTGTGGGGCCCCGTCTCCTGAACACGCGTGCAAAGCCGCTGCTCATTTTCTTGGGGCTGGGGCTTACCCTGTGGGTCCCAGCTCCCACACGTAAATACTGGACATTTATTTTTTTTTTATTGTTTACAATCTTATCATTAACTCCTTTTCAAGTACCACTGCTAATCACTAAAGCCTCTTTCGCCTATTTTTGGCCTAATAAGATTTGAGTACCTGTTAATTTCTAACACAAAAAAGTCTCTTTAACATGTCGAGAGGTGATACAATAGTTAACGTCTCCAAATAAATAAATAAATAAATAAATAAAATACTACTACTAATCACTAATCTCCCTCCTTGCTAGTCTATCACTTACAAGTTTCTCTCCGCTACTTTACTTTGAGAATTTACAGTAGTATATTTCATACACTGTCTGGATACTAGCTAACGGGGTGTGTGTGGGGATGTATGTCACGTTACGTTATTTTAATTTGAATTTGACCATCAAGTTTTAATTATGTAATATGCATACCTAGATTCACTAATATATGGTATAGTGCATAAAAAATTTGCATTTACTTTAATCGTAGCTTTGCATCACTACTTACTTTTATCTAGCTTTTTTTTTTGTTCTTCTGTTTCTTTTCTTGTCAAGCAGTTCTATATTGCAGTAAACCTCTAATAAAAATCTATTTTTGTTTCTTTCTGCACTTTGCGTCATGTTTTCTTGTCGCCAGCCTTCTGCTTGTTCCTTTTTTAATCTCTAGCACTAAAAGGGGACCCAAAAAAAAAAAATAATCAGAAGTCTACTAAAAGGGGACCTGTTGCAAACTTGGTCTTGCCCTCTTAAATACCTTGTTTTCAACTTATTCTGATTTTGTAAAATTGATTCTTGAAAAATTAGGTATTTCAAAATAACTCATATGTTCTCATTTAATGTTAATGAATACATCGATGTTCTCCAAAACAGTTAAAAAGTTGATTTTTACAAAAAAAAAAAAATCAAATTACACTTATATGCTACATAAATGAATTTTTGTGTTAATTATATAATTATTTACTTTTCTTATGAAAATTAAAAATTTCGAATGAGAAACCAAAAGGGGGACACACGTGAATTAGGATGTGGGATGATCATGAGAGGAAGATAGAGAGTGACATGCCGCATAAACAAAAAAATTATCCAATCTTTAGATAGTTTTGCAATTATGTTGAAATTTGAGAGGTATTTTTTTTTCCTTGAATCAGGACGGAATCAGAATCTAAAAGCACCTCAAGAACTACTTCTAATTTTCAAACTATTCTACGCAAAAAATAATAAATAGTAAGTCATTTTTTTCAAGATAACATGTTAGAAATGCACCAATTAAGTAGTTTGATGAAGCCTTTTATCCATGAAGTGGGATATAGCACCAAAAGTCGAAACTGAAACTGAAAATTGATTGAAGCTGAAACTCGAGGAACCCCCGGGCGGAAGGGATGCGTTCGGTTCGAGTCGAGTTCGACTCGAAGTAAAATAACTAAGCTCGAGATCGAGCTCAAGCTCTTCGAGCTTTTAGAATTCAAGCTCGAGCTCGAACTCGACGTCAATTTACGTTACTCGAGCTCGAGTTTAATTAAATCTAATCAACTCAAATCAAGCTCAATCGAGCCTATTCGAGATCAATCAAGTCTAATCAAGCTCACGTAATAAAAATTAATATTTTACATATAATTTTAAATAAAAGATATTATTGACATTTCACAATAATAAAAATTAAAATATATATTAAAAAAAAACTCGATTAGACTCGTCGAGCCTTCGAGTGTAAAATATTAAAACTTGAACTCGACTCGCTGTTTCTATCAAGCCGAGCTGCTGACCGAGTAGCTTGCGAGCTCGAGTCAAGCTACTCGGTCCAGCATCAGCCCGTGGGAGGCGTGATTCACAGCGTCACAAGTCACCTTAACTTTAAACCACAACTTTAAAACATAACCATCTCCAGCCATCTTACCCATGATCTCAAATTATTTATTAACCACTGAATTCTTTTTCTCTTCATATTTCCCATCTTGATAATCACTATAATTTGATAATCGTATTGAATAACGCCACGTGCATCAAAGTAGAACACAAATACCAGAGTCAAAGACTGAGTTCAACACTAAACAACTTTGTTCCCAAGAGAGTTCACATTGTACACTTACTACTAAAGTACCGAGTACTAATATGTTCGTGCTTATTTGAAACAATATCTCCTTTTTTTTTATTTGAAACAATTTAAGTAGTACTTTTTTTTTTTTGCGCAAAATAGTCACTATCAGTGTATGATTCTTATCCATCGAAGGCTCACTCCACCACTCTCTAAAAAGGGCGGCGAAAAAAGTACAAGAGATATGCACAATCTCATTATTCCTGAAGACCTCGATTTGCTTGTACAATTAAATTAGGTTATAAAAAAAAAAAAAATTTACATGAAGCAATCTGAGTACATCAATATGGGGGGGAGGGGGGGCCAGGAAAACTCAGAAGTTACAAGAAAGAATACGGGAAATTCAGCATCATATTAGGGAGTGTTATGAGATAAAAAATAGTAGTAGTTAGCTACTAACAGGGGCCTGTCGCTCACCATCAAAGTAGGTTTCAGTTACCAACTTACCATCAGCCATTAGTAGCAATCGGAAGATAAAAAGTGGGCATTCCTCCTCCTACTATAATGTTTGACCACTAAGACAGTCTTGGGGAATAAGAACATAATAACAACAAAATTGAAACACATTTGCTTGCTGCAGTCAGACCTAGCTCTCGATGATCATTACCTTTCATCTCTTACCAAAATCAAAATGCCAATTAAAAAGCAATTAGACTGATCATCAAGACAAATATGTTTTAACAGGACGAACAAATAAAACATCATAACCTAATCCTGCCACCTCCTCCCATTTCTCCAAGAACTGATTTATTCTGCAAATAAACAAAGCCATGAATCAGCTGGGGGCTTCTTTCTTTAATCTTTACCTCTTTTACTCCATCCATAAGGAGAGTGGTGTTTGCTGCTGTTATAAATCAGTTGTGGAGAGCTAGGAACTTGATTGTCTTCAAAAACAGACATGTTTCTGCTGTTGACATTGCTCCTGAAGTACTGGAGTTGGTGATAAATGTGACTGCAGAGTGGAAAGGAATCCCTCGTACAAAGTTGAATTGAGAAATGGCTGTTCAATTGAGTTTGGCTCATGTCTGTTTTAGCAGCTGAGTTGCTTCTGTTCTTAAAATTGTGACATGATGATATAATTTTTCGAACTGCTTTGTTCCTGTTGTATAAACTTTATTGCCTTGATCAATAAAATGCTCTATATTTGCCACAGAATTTTTTTTTTAAAAAAAAAAAAAAAAACTTTTGCTTCACCTCTCCTATGCGCACACCTAATGCATCAACCCTTTGTATTTTACATAACATAATCATTTGAACTGAAGCAACTGCTTCTGTTATTAATTAGCCAAGGCAGTTCCGTAAAGATGCTCTTGCAGATTATCTAGCATCCAGGCACCATGACATCGCTTTCATAAAAAATGGTTAACCACTTTTATCATCTAACTTAGCTATTACCCACTAGTTGCTAATGAAACACACACAAAAAGCCACAGCTAGTCCACAGAAGAACATGCTAATTTCCAATCAAAAGATCGCTATTCTCATCAACCTCAACATACCATGTCCAACATCCATCCGATACTAGATCTCAAAAGATTATCAGTCAAGGATCCTATCTACGATGGAAAATAAAATTGACACGTTTCAAGAATAATGATCTACATGGCAGAGTAAAATGCAGTTATGTAGTTGGTGCGTCAATTCTATTCTCCATCATGACAATAACCACACAACATGTTCATTCTAAGAAAGATCAAGAGTTGCTTTCATAAGCTAACGGGTTATTACCAACCTGGTCCAGCACAACATATACACAAGATTAAGTTTCCGTATCCAAGAACAAATGTTCGTGGATTAAGGGCAAAATAATTCACCATCAAGCAAAATAAAAGGGATGCTAGCTTTTCTAGCTCCCAGGAGCAAGATATTGCCATGTCAAAAAGATTTCAGCCGACTAGTTACTATAGACCTCACAATCTAACCAACCGAGAATTCAGGAGCAATAATGTCAGCAGTCACAATTAGTGATTGCCGACATCAGCCTAGCCACCAAGTCCTGTTCATGAAATCCAAGTAAAATTTTGTCTTTGCCTATCAAAGAACCTCTTTCCGCATTTCAAGTCAAAATTTGGCTGATTGTTCTCTAGCGTAAGTGGGTGGTTTGCCATACCTTCAGGCATGCTTCGGATTAGATCGTCGTAATAATGATGGCATGGTAAGACCAAATACTGAGTAACGAAGAAAATTTCACGCTAGCAATGAAACACATTGATGTGAATGCTGTGGATTCAAATATTTTTCAAATCTTTCACCAAAAAGATTAGCGCCACTATAATGTTGTCTGCTCGTATTAGTCTCATGTGCAAGGTTCACGAAATAAAAAAGAACAGATTCTTATCCCAAATAGTTGAGTATCCTCTCTAAAGGTGACGATAAATAATCATTGTCCAAAAGTATAGGCCTAACGTGCAACTGTTACCATCACAATGTCCACAGGAATTCAAGATCACAACTTCTTCTAGCTATATGATGGAAAGATGGACGTCTTGTAAAAATACTGCAGACACCTGATATAATGTTTTGCTTTTTTCAAAACTTTTAGATATGTTGATAAGATCCTCTCAGTAGCTTTCCCGTGTGAAAAAAGTAATTTAAAAAATAAAAAAAGGCACAACTAAAAGGCAGCACAGGTCTTTTGGGAATACACTGAAGAAAGCAAAACTTCTGAACTTTATGGATCAAAAAGAAAGACAAATAATAATGAGAAAAAGCTAAAATGGCTTTGAAGTAATAGAACAAGGTTAGCAGCGATATGAAGTGAAGGATTCTATGCTCAGGACTGGCAACTACCATTCTCATATGTAATATACCATTTAAATTTGGCATTTTAAGACATATTACACTTGTCGGCCTTGATAATTATCAAAAACAAAATTAGTTTTTTCATATGCGTTATACACAAAAAGTTAAATGAGTAGTTGCCCATATTTTTTCTCATAGAAGAAGTGAGAAAACAAAAGAATGAAACGATGTGTCTTTCTTCCTTTCTGTTATCTCCCATTTCATCATTTATTTGTGTGTTTCATTCAAAGTCCATCAAAATAAACAGAATCTCAATAAAAAGGCATTGTCGCGGTGATTATAATGATTTATTAACAATATTAGTTACCTCTCCCGATCACTTTGTTGCATATATATCATACTAGTTCAGGAATATTCACAAACTTTTGGTTTATGCTAAAACAGTGTGTGCCCCCAAAAGCAAGAAAATAGGTTAAGAGCAGTCGGAAAAAAACAAAATCAAGTGATAATCTCATGCACTAGATAAATTAAGTTCACACTCAACATAGAACCAAGCACAGTCTCCAATAAAAGCTTTTCCAACTTTTATCTCACAACTTCAACAAATAGGTAATCATAGGGTTAAGAAAGAATATTGTATACAAACTAAATATCCAAGAAAATTAAATTGCAAGCAGATAGACAAAATCAGCCCCTACTTAGGAGCGAACTAGCTAATCATGGATTGCCATGTGAAACTATTAATACAACACAAAGTTTAAACAAGAGCCATACCAAAGAAAAATAAGCCAATTATATTAAGACCCCAAAAGTACAGACCAATATTAGCCAAATAATTAAGCATTGACCACTACTAATATTAACAATAGTTAGCAGACATGTATCAGAACTGACGTTAATAGAAGCTGAGACTAGAAGTTTTAGTTATTATCAATTCTAAATAAATTTTTTTTTAAAAAAAAAAAAATGATAAGGATTCAATCCAGAACCAATCCCCACATTGAATTGGGCAAGAGGCTGAGTACTATAACAGGCCTCCAGTATCAGGAGGGCAGCACTCTTTAGCAGTAATAATTAAGAAACAAAGAAAAACGGAATCTACATTAACTACAATCTCATATTTACAAAGGCTGAGCACCAGAATCATAGGGTAGGCAAAAACAGAGACAGTGAAAAGCTCATTCCAGAAAGAATTTTTTTTTTTTTAAAAAAAATTGCAACGAGAAAGAAAAGAAGAGAGAAAAACAAAATACCAAAGCTAAACAGGCAGCAGAAAGACTACATCTTTTTCAACGTAAAAGACAGGAAACAAAATACGCAATGTTAATTAAGAGAAATGAACGGCAGCAAAAGGTTACACTAGGAAGTAAGCAAAGCAGGGGTATAATGAGGCTAAACAAGTGCGATTGAAAAGTTTAATCCAGGCGAAACTAGCATAGATTTGATGGGAAAATGAAGAGGAGGAGAGAAGTTCTTTGGTAAGGTTCGTCACCTTAAAAAGGGAAGGAATCTGCAAAGACTAAAGCCCCAAAAGCGATTGGGGAATGACGGGGGACAACTGATAGCTCCTCTTAGAGTTTGCCTGCTTTCCTCTTTCCAAACACGGGCGGCAGTGGCTGTCCTCCTCCTCCTCCTCCTCCTCCTCCTCCGGTAATCTCTGGGATGGCCTCCCTAACTTACTCGTCTCGACTTCCCAATTATTAGTGTAGCAAGTACACAACACATTTGTACACAACATTTTATAAAATTAAATAAATTAATGCAAAACTCGCATTTCTTATAAACCACAATAAGAAGCGATTCCTCACTTGTACACTGATTTTTCCCACACAATTGACAGTGTCCCATTTTGTTGCTAAAAAAAAAAAAAACAAAGAAGCTTGCAATCTTTTCTTTTACATAACTAATATGACTCTCTCTCTCTCTCTCTTTTTTTTTTTTTTTTTTTGTTGTTGTTGTTGTTGTTAACACTCTTTTACATTTTTGCTAGCTAATATAATAATTTAGTACATAAAAACCATTCACAAGATTGGGGCATTTCGATAGAAATCAATAATAACAAAAGGCATTTTCAAATTTACCCGAAGGAGGAGGCGTCCCCACATGAAAGAGAATGGCTGTGTTGGGAGTCTGTAACTCTTGATGGGCTAGCAACATGATGTGTAGGCTCACCATTTTGGCCCAGCTCTATAGACCCAAACCCAACTCATAACTTGGAGCCCATTATTCTGCCCGTTAATAAATTTAGTTAAGAATGAATGTTTACATTTTATTCTTTCATTCTTTCCTGTAACACTAATTAGTCTAGTTATTTTGATCTCCTTCTACCTTTTATATATATATATATGTATGTATGTATGATTTTCCTTTTACATAGAGTCGAGTCTGATTGAAAGTTTTGGGCTAGGAATAATGGCAATAGTTTAAAGGAAAATTCTAGCTGCATTTCTGGATCATGACCAAAAAAAAAAAAAAAAAAAACAAGAACCCCAATTGATTGCTGTAACAGATTCAGATTGAGATGCACACGAAGACCCTTCTAGGTTGACCTTCATTCATCGTACACGACGACTACGACCTTACCAACTTTTGTTCGTTGAAGATGAAGATGAAACAGGAGGGATTTTCTTCAGGACACCGACGAATGCAGCTAGAATTTTCAAAGCACTGCCGACGACTGTGCTGGACATGGAGAACTTTCGTATGCAGCTAAATTCCAACGAGTTATAGTAGTATAGAAGACAACTCATGCGCCTGCACAAAGTTTGTCCCCTTGCATTGCAGCTATGGAGGTGACTTTAGTTTAGAGGACCATTGCCTAACCCCATGCGGGCGGGATCTGACTGGTACAGGCGAAAACGCGCATATCAATGCCGGAGACCGGCGACTTGGACCAACTGTTTCCAAATATAAATGAATACTGGTAATACGTAACCAGTAGGAAGGTAACAACACAAGCAGGATGTGGAAATGGAATGGTAGACAGAGGAGGAGTAGCATCCTTCATAAAAATAAAAATAAAAAAGACAGAGGAGTAGCATTTCTGTAACGTGCGACTCTGTACACTACAAATTAAACACCCGATTCCGTAACGAAATTTCTTAAGTTATGCATGTCTACCGCCTAAGGGTAATCCGTCTTTGGAGCCCCCGGTGTTCGTTTTCCTTCATTGCAGGACATAGGAATGGAATGATGTTCATTCATTTCTGTAACAGTTTGCGACGAGAAGAGAACCCAACGCTTTGTAAGTTTTTAGGGCATATCATATCATGTTTGATTGGATTTTCTAAGAGCCTTGTGTTTGTGTCCTAGTATAAACAAACTTTCTACTTCGGACTACCCTAAACCTGCACCTTATCGCGCCCGCCTACTACACTTTATTTGGAGGGAATCCAACCGTCGTGGCCGCGCCAGACTCCTCAACATTTGTGCATCTCAACAGTAACAGTACCTGTATATGGTCGGGGGCGGGGCCACGTAAATAGGCATCAATGTAGGGATCATGGGGAAATCAGTCAGATGCTCCCTTGGAGTAAAACTAGAAGAAGAAGAAGCTGAAAAGGACGGGACGGTGATCGTGGTGGGTTTTGCACTGCCTGCTGAACAACCAATCACACCCTTCACGACCTCAGGATTCATCTTAGTTATCACGCTCTGAATTTCTGCCATTAATCATCAAAAGAAAAAGAAAAAAAAAATCAACACGGCCTTCTTGATTCTACACGGCTACATGTCTTACCGACTGTATATGCATAAACATATATGATCCAAACTAAGCCAGGGAGAAGAAAGGTGTGAGGAGAACCCGGCCACCAACCTCGGAAGCTTCTTCTTCGCTCAGAGAGTTTGTTGCTCATCATCAGAGGCTTAGGCCTAGCTGCCCTGCTCTCTTCTTCCATAGGGTAGAAATCCAGTTCCACGGTAGATCCCCCTGAATACATTGTTTCTGTTCAGCTTTCTAATATGGCGCCCGCCAGCGCCAGTGGGAATTTGAAGAGATGTGCTGGTTGAACGAACAGCAAGGGTTTGCGATGAATAAAAATTGAACCCTCCTACTACTTGGTTACTATACTACTATCACATTACTAGGAGTAGGAGTACCCTTTTTTTTTTACTTTCGTCTTATATCACTTGCCGTCATTGTGAAACGTAATACTACTTTGTTTCCATAAAACATGATTAGTCGGGGCCGTAAGAATTGATCCGGACGCCCCTGTATCGACAAAAAAAAAAAAGATAAAACATTATCTGAAAAAATTATTTCGGGCAACACAGTAACACATTTTATGGTGAGAAATGTGCGAGGTCATGAAACGGTAGTTAGCAAGATAAAAATGTTACTAAAAATATGTTAGTAATATAATATTTGCAAATAGTGGAGAATCCAAATACCTTGAATAGAAGGTTAATTAGAAAAATGATTTGTACTAATACTGCTAGTATTTTTTATGATGTAATGTGTATAAGATGAAATTTATATATAAAAAAAAATAAGTTGTTGAAAAATGTACTATGATGCGCACAAAATAATATTTATAGATAATGCTGAATCTAAATACCTCAACTGTTTCTTATTAAAAAAAAAAAAAAAAAACGCGAAGGTAGCAGACATGGAAGCTGAGAAAATTTTGAAATTTGGTTTGCAAGCACCAACTTAGCTAATAGAGACATTAACTAGCCGGTTATGAGGTCCCTAATTCAACTCTCAAACCTTCGTTTTTTTTCCATTCTTTCTTGTAAGGTGTGAAGTCTCTTTTCAAATTAAAAAAAGGAGTTATTATCACTTTATCCCTTCAATATTTGGTATCACTTTCAATTACCCCTTTAACGTTAAATTCTCTGTATAATACAACATAAAAATTTCAAGTCAAACCAAGTTTTGATTGTATGCCAAACCAAACTTTCCGTGAACATGCGTCTAAATTTTCAAATCAAGTTCTATCAAAATATTTTTTTTTTTTAAAAAAACTTTCAATCACATGTCAAGTTCAAATATTTAATTTTAATCTTTAAATCAATCGAGGCTATAATCAGTAGCCTTTTCTGGGAGGTAAAAAGCGCGTTTTTTCATTTTTTTTTTTTTCCTGAACAAAAAGAAGAAGAGAGTAGTTGTTGTATTGGTATTGATGATCAAATTAAAGTAGGAGTAGTAGTACCGGGTGCAAAAAAAAATATACTGCTGCTGCTGCTGCTGGACTAATGGACTTGTAGCGGTAGCAGCAATTATAACTCCAATTCATGGTGTAGTGGGAAGGGGTTGAACACTTAATAATAATAATAAATAATAGTAATAATTGTTGGTAAGTTGTGGGGGCTGTGCGTGAAAGTGGGTTTGACGTGACGTAACCGGAGCGGATCGGATCCACCCACGCCCAGGCCAGGCAGAATCGTGAAGGTTTTGACATTTAGCGGAATGGTGGGAGAGGGAGTTGAACGTGGACCAAATCCCTCCCTCAGTCTTCTTTGACCACTGACCATCTCCTCCTCCGCCTTAATCTTAATGCCTTTAATCTCCTTCTTTTCCTTCTCCTGCCCAATTTGCCAAATTTGCTATAGCCATTCCAATTCCATTCAGCTTTCGGACATAGAAGAAGAGCTTTTCATCTTCATTTTCATCACCATCTTATGATTCCTATCCTTCTTTTTTTCTTTTACATTTCTCGATAACCCGAACGCAGGGACTTCTCTCCCCAATATTTGTCAAAATTCGTTCTTTCTCCGTCTCTCTCTTTTGCCCATTCTTTCTTCCTCCATTTATCTATCTCTTTCTTTGGTAACTAACTGGACGAACTCCTTTTTTTCTTTTTTCTTTTTTTTTTTGGGGACCAATCCACTTGTTTTATTTTTACCTCAACAAAGAAAGAATTTTAAAAAGGCAGCCGGCCAAGTTGTAGTAGGACGATGAAGACGTCGCTGAAGAAGCTCCGAGGAGCCCTTAGGCATGAAAGAAAAGGGCATAGGCTTCAAAGGATTCGGGCCCAATTGGATGAGCTCGATCAGGCATCTCAGGTATTGACTTTCTCTTTGTTTCTTTTCATGCTTTTTTTTTTTTCTTTTTTAATTCCGGGTTCATGGTCCCTTTGTCCTGTCTCGTCAATTTTCCTCGTCCCTTGTTATCGTTCTTGAAGAAATGACGATCTTGGTAAAATTCACCCCGTTTTTTCTTTTACCTTTTGGGCAAATGTACCTTCTTTGACTCGTAATTTTAGCTGGAATTGCTAGTAGAATATGAAGATCTCAGGTGTTTGATTTTGCTTTTATGATCAAATTTCTTTTTGCTGTTCTGGCTCCTCTCTCCTCATCCCGTTTATCTATCATTCTTTTGCGCCGGCAAATTATTGATGTGATGAGGGAAACTAAGAATCCCATGACTGGCCAAGTCCAATGAAATATATATATATATATATATATATATGTATGTATATGTGTGTTCAGCTATTACTGTTCAATGTTGTTCCTGATATTGGTAATGAGAGTTGAAGTGCATCCATTTGAGTTGTACATGCAGTCCCTTTAGGTCTATGGAGTGATCGCAGAGAACAATTGCAGCTCTTGTTACTCTTGTGGGTGTTTTGGAATGTCTATGGAGAGGTGCACCATTTACTGCCTTATTGTGCTGTGAGCATCGCAGAGATACATAATTATGTAAATTGAGAACTGCTGATGTGGCCTTGACTTAGTTCTGAATTTGTTAATCTTTTTCATATATGGGTCAAAAGCGAGGTGAAAGTAGTGGACCTGATATTCGTTATGTTGTGGTAGAATAATAACCATTTTGTCTATCTTTGCTTGGTTTGGCATGGTAGAGACTATTCCTGCCATATGTTCAAAAGACATTTAACATTGATTGCAAGGATGATACCGTTATAAGCGTAGCGATAATGGGGTTATTTTGATGTATGGAAAGATCTCATTTAATGGGTGCAATGTAGGGCTTCATTTTAAATTGCATCCCTGGAGCTTACTTAGGTGTTACTTCATTACTTGGTTTGCAGCACTGGATTCTAGCGATGACCAGTTTTCTGTTTTGCAAATGTTTCTTCTATCCTAATTGTCTGGTTGGCCAAAGAGCCTCATATTGGACTGAAAAATTTTGAATTTAATGATTAGAAAAGTTGTAAATGCCACATCTGTTGCCCGATTTTTTTATCTGCACTTTGGTGAAACTATACCTATGACATTATTGTCCATATTTATGATGTGGTGTAGAATTTCATGCTTTTAGTCTGAGAATCTGTGACTAATGTTCGTATCTTCTTCAGGACATGAAAGATATGAGAGATTGTTATGACAGATTACTTTCAGCTGCAGCTGCCACTGCAAACAGCGTTTATGGTAACTTCTTCAACTTCTTTACTAAGTCTATACCTTAACTTTGTGCACTAATGCTTGGCCTATCCTGTTTCATAAGATCTTTAGTGCTCAAACTATTACTTACGGCATCTGAAGTGAAAATATTGTGGAAAAGAGTACAATCTATCATATGTGTTGGAAGTCTTCCTTGGTATTTGCCTTGAAGAGTTAGGTCTATTTCTGTTAGGCTTGATCTAAATTCATCTCAACTAGAAAATAAGGAAAACTAGATGCTGAATCAATAAAGGTGCTTCTTACCTCGTAATTCCAAAGTCAAGTCCCTTATACATTTTTTACTCTTTATTTGCTTCTCTACTCATGCAGCCTTGCTCTTTAATTGTACTGCATTATTTGTCTTATAATCCATTCAATATCATCTTCAACAGCAGTTAATCATACCAATTTAATCTCTTGCTTCTTGCTCCTTACCAAATTCCTTGATAGTACATGTCCCATCTTGACTTTTGTAAGATTCTGTTGGTTATTTGTTTATTCTTTCTTCTCTTCATCTGGCATTTCCTTATATTGCATCATAAAGGAAACTTCACTAATCAAGTCAATCTTCTTTCAGAATTTTCAGAATCACTTGGGGAAATGGGTGATTGTCTACTTGAGAAAACTGCTTTGACTGATGACGAGGAAAGTGGTGAGTAAACATACTTTTTCATATTCCTTTGGCGGTTCCAAGAACACCAAAATTACCCTAAAAGTTCTCTCTTTTTCCGGATATCACAAAAAGGTCCCTTTTCACCTTTGCTGCTAGACGTCTCATGCCTACCTAAAAACTAAAACTCAGCTTTTAATGTTTCCAAACGGTGGTCAATTGATGGATCATGCATTCACGGTTTAGAAATTGGACTCGCTGATTGGTTTCCACGTAATTTTGCCCTTTATACAAATTATTACGACATTTAAATTGACCAAGTTAAGTTTCCCTTGGAAAAAGCACATCATTTTGACCTGGTGGACATCTTCTCCATCTCTGTCGATTTACTGCTGCTTTGGGAAAAATAAAGAAAGATGTCCCTTATAGGTAGAAGTAGTTCGCATTTCTTGATGAGCTTAAATTAATCCTTAGTTAATTTTGGGGACAATATACCACTTTGCAGTTTTTATTCAACAATTCAAATTCACATGACACACCCCTAACTAATTCATGTTTCTGGTTTGCACCCCAAACTCTAACTTTTGGGTGCATTTAATGTATCCCCCAATTTGGTTTTGATTTGAATGCGCAATAGGTACAAATAGATCTTTACTTGATATTTAATGAACCTCACCACTTACAAATTTATGATGAAATTAATTTTTTTTTTTAATCCTCGTATTTCTATAGGCACCTCTCCAAAAGAAAACTGAGGAACCTAAAACCTTATCCATGTTAGTTTTCTCTAAATTTTGGAGAAAATGTGTGTCTTCAAATTACGAAGTTTTCAAAAATAGGTCAAAGCAAACAATCAAATGTACTTCTTTAAATTGATGGGGAAGACAGTGTCTGCATGTGTTTGGATAGGAGTTTATTTGAATGATTTATTTGAGATAATTACTGTAACTTTTTTTTGTGATGTGATATGTGTGCGATAAAAAGACGATGGGATGACAAAAAGGTGATTGAAATTTGTGAAACAAATTATTTTATCTCAATCCAAACAAACTCACTAGTGTAAAATAAACATTTCCTCTCGCCAATGATCATCCATCTGGAAGGTATATATGTACGCATCGCTGGCTGGTATTATTGTGGAGTAGGGGATATGATCAATTAGTTTTGCACGATGGTATATTTTTGCGAGACTGATGATTAGTAACGAAAAGGTCACTTCCAGTTCTAGTTACAATGTGTGCAGGGCACTAATTGTAAGTAATGAATATATATTGCCCAAATGGGGTATCGCGGCATGATGACAGTTCTTACTACTAATTAACCTGTCATCGTGACATTAAAAAACCGCAAGCAGCAAGCCCCCGCACAGTCCTACGTAATTAATGCTAGGATTATTATTAATTAGTACTAAAACAATTGTTTGTTTGTTGGTAATAATAAAGAAATGAATGGCATCTAATTCTAAGGTATGTGTGATGATTATGTTTCCCCGCAAACCCATGAAGCGGAACAGAGCGACGTGGTCATGTAAGACGTTCGCTTGCGCCCAAGCATGTGCCTCCCACCTTCCCTGCAACTCTCCTCTGGCTGAATTGTCAAAAACATGAATTTCCTTTCCTTCCTTCCTTCCTTCCTTCCTCTTATTAGTTCTACTTATTTCTTGGCTAAAATTTCAGAGAGCAGTTAAAGGAATCATCAAAACTTACTACGGCAGAACGTCATTCTTTCCAGTGCATAGCATCAGACGTTCTCTCTCTCACCCCCGCTCCCCTCTCTCTAGATTTTTTTTTGAATATATTACTTAAGAGATAGATACAGGAGGATCAATCATCAAAGTCGAGATCATGGCATATCGCTAGAGGAACAAAAGACTTCAGTCAACTGGTGCCTTCTTTGTCTTTTGTTTACGCTAATAAATCGACTCATGTAATTTGGGGAGAGCAAAAATCACGACTTTAGAGAATGCGCACTAAAATGAAGAGATGGATCGATAGGTTGCGAAAAGGTATCTGGGTTTTGGTTTTCATGTCTCTAACTAGGGGCGGCATGAGCTTGGGGATTCAACACTTTGGAACGTTAGAGAAGCTAGCTAAGACACAGGAAGTTGTGACATTTGTCAGGAAAAAAAAAATCGTCTTCAATAATTTTATTTATCATCCACTGAGTAAAATATTTGTGATCAATCCAGTTTGTACATGGAGCAGAACAATTTCCAGTTATAACAACAAACTTTGCGTGACGGACAAAAATTAATTAGTGCCTCGCCCAGGATGTGTACATATATATATATATGTATATTGATGATGTACGTACAGATGGTTGGTTCATTAGCAGCTTCTCAATAGAGCACGAGACAGGGGAAGCGTGGCCTTTGGTCAGGGGACAGTGCATCGATGAGTGCATGGGCATGGAATGATTTAAGCTTGGAATAGTGAAAGCATAAAAAGTGCTCCATCTCCATGTAGCAGTCTTTTGACGGGAATGTTTTTCTACGCAAAAAAGTTCCCCAGCAACCCGCACTACTGATTCCACGTCACCCACCCTATCAATTTATTCCTACTTCCTCCTTCTCTTTCGACTTTCTTTCTTACATATCGGCTTTCCGTTCTTTAATTAGTACTCCAAATTCGCTCACTTGACTTGACTTGACTTTGATAATTAACAACAAATCACTTTCTTTCTCATGTATTGTATTGAGAATGGTATCGGTGTTGAACGATTTGTAAGAATTTTTATAAGTGTTTTATTTTATGCTTGCTGAGGTATATATGCTATGGTCCGATTCGTGTTGATGGTCGGAATCGAACCTACCCAAACATTTATTTACCAAAAAGAAAAAGTAGTACGTGCCATGCTCATAAAATATTGTACATCCCATAATTTTTGGACTTTATTTGTCGATTTGGTAAATCAAGATCTTATAATATTGATTAAGCGTGCGTTTTTTTTTAAAGAAAAAAAAAAGGCTCTCTGAAAAACTTGTCTAGCTAGGAGTGATTATATTATGTATACATGCAAAAAAAAAAATTTTTTTTTTTTTGTTAAAAAGAAAAACTATATAAATGTCATTGGTAACTTAAAATTTAATCCAGTTTGTTCATCAGAGGGGTAAAGTTTTATTATGAAAAAGATACCTGAAAGTGGAGTGGACAGGAAAATACGTAAAAACACGTTGTTGTCTAGTGGAAATCATCTGAAAAATAGGATGAGTGGGGTTTGTGAGCTAGGATGATGACATGTGGGGTGGAATTATAAAACTAGCATCCGGCCAAGGAAAACATCCACCAGCTTGCTTTTTCATGATGAAACCCAAAAAAAAAAAAAAGATCGTATTTGCTACACTATCACGCACGTAATTATAGTGCATGGGGGTGTGGTTTGAATTCGATTGAGAGCACAGCACAGCACGTAGGATTTTATTACACTAGCGTTACATGATGACTTATCATCGACTGCGTGCGGCTCACCGGAAAAAGGAAAGAAAAAAAAAAAAACAAAGAAAGATGAAAACCTCTTATTAGTCAATTCTGAAATGCGAAGCATCCAATTCCATTGAACTTGAAGAAAAGCAGTAGTGTGTTGTTTCTGGACTGGACCTGCCTCTCTCATTTCGGCCGGCCCCAACTCTACAGTTGAAAGCACTCGAGAAATGAAAAGGGACGTGGCTCTTTTATTCTCGTCATCATGCCATCATCAATTCCATCATCATAACTCCTCCCCAACAAATATACTACTAAATCAATTGATCAAGCCAAAGTGCGATCCAATGAAATTTTAATCTCTCTCTCTCTCTCTCTCTCTCTCTCTCGCTGGGGTACTGATCCATCTAGCTAGCAATAATTTAATTTTACTGCTGTTGTCTCCATGTGTGTGTGTGTGGGGTACAGGAGGCGCAGTAGTAAAAAGAGGGAGGGGGGAAGAAAAGGGAGCCAAGAGATTAGTGGTAATTTTGCATGTGCATGCGGAATGATGAGCAGTAAATAGTAATTGATTGTCAGTCCATGCATGTGAGTTACTGAGGGATCAGGCTTCACGTATCCTATCATATTTCGTGTAGTAGTATAATTTTAGCACAACTGTTAATCTATTTATATTAGTAATTATTTCAAAATTTACACCCTAAGTTCAATTCATGACGTACGGGATGTATTTTCCTTTCAATAGACTCGATCGGTAAAAAAAGAATTAACGATGGCCGGAAATTGTCAGCGTCTCGAGATGAAGGTACTACGTACAACTTAAAAAAAAAAGTCTTAAACTTGGAAAATTGAGGATTTGAGTTCTGCTTGGGCCCGCCCGCTGCTTCCTCCAAATGCTGCCCGCTAATCAGGGTAAGCCAGAATTAAATGATTAAATATCTGTTTATTTTCCATGAAATCTGGAAGAGAGATACATGCAATCAAGGGTAACCGGAGTTAATCAAATTCCATCGTCGGCTATCTCTACAATTAATTAATGCCATCCCAACATGATCATAGTACCCTGGCAAGGAAGGATAATAATAATACACAGAAAAATAAAAACTCTTTTAGGGCCGGCGCAATTTTGAGGAATATTACTTTGAAAGTAGGAAAGGTTTATCCTAGCCTCCTCACATTTCACGACGACCCTCAACAAAAAAAAAAAAAAAAAAAAAGGAAAGGAAATTAAGTAAAACTTCAGCACTCCAATTTCAGGCTTCCATTTTGAGTTTTACTAAATAATGCCTGCCCCGGCCCTTAGGGTGACATTTCGGGTTTCGCGTGTCTTCTGAAATGGGAAGGAGGATAAAGAAATTAAGGCCCGTCATGCACCCAACTTTCCATGACTTTGAAACTTCTTGATTCCAACTCGCCGCAATATCTTTCACCAGCTGCAGCTGGATAAAATTTTCTCACTCATTAATATTCTAGTTTTCCAGAGTTCGCATTGACGAATTCTTCTGAGAGACACGCCATTTTGTTACTACAAGGCACTACTGAAATGAAATGACCGTATTTGGTGAAAATCCATCATATTGTCATTGTCCGAGAGGGGACAACAAAAAATATATATATATATATTTTTTATGTTTTGCGTACTTCATTAGAGATGAATGAATAGTGACAGGAATTAGGCAGGGATTAAGAGCTTGACAAGTTGTAAATAAAGAGACGAGACGTCCGTCCATAATATATATAGCTCTCTCCCTCAGAAACACTGGAAAGAATTTAACTTTACGCATGGGACGACATCTAACGTGCTTTCTATAGTTTCTTTTCATGATCTTCTGATGGAGACTAATCTTTGAGAGAAAGGTCGGAATCTGCCGCCTGCTGTGCAGTATTTATAAGTTATAACCGGTGGTGGATGATAAAAATACGAAAGAAGATGCCTTTTGTAGTCCTGTGGGTGCGGGATGTAGTTTTGTCAAAGGCCAATTGGCCATGGCCTCTACCATTACTACATGGTGGATTGTGGGGTGATCATTCCGGAGTTCAAGAAGGAAAAAAAAAAAAGAAGAGAAGTAAACTAGTAAAGGGGGCCAACTTTTCCATGACTGCCCCCTTTTTGTTTTTGGGTTGCGCTTTGCATTTGCATGTTCCCTTTCGAATGCGGGCAAGAAGCCTCTCACGTCCATGGAATATCCCTCCTATTTTTGCCAAATGTATAAATTAAGGCATTTCATTTTCAATTTCACACCAGTGGTTTGTGGGACACTCATTCCGGGAAAAAACGACACCACCTGCACTGCAGTGTAAGTATTATCTCAATTCCCACTCCCGGATCGATTGCTCGGTATTGTTACTCATATGCCTTCCTTAATTACTGGCTTTTCCTAGCTGGAGTACGTACTATATTACCCTTTTTTTTTTTTTTTTTGCGGCGGGGGGTAACACTGGGGATGGCTGACTGAATTAAACAAGCCTAACATGCATCGATCGTCAATGAGCAGTTTGAGAATGAAGCAAGCAAGTGCGGGCTCACAGTCATAGGGATAATAGGGGATGGGACGAGGAATCCAATGAAATAACAGTTGGTGTTAGAGGATTAAGGAGGCCAGCAGGTGGCAGCAGGCACGCCCGCCGGAGGCTCTGATCAAAGCACACATATGCATGGGACGTTGCATATATATATATATATACACACACTATATAGTAAGTAAGTACTCCCTCCGTCCCATTGTTATTGTCATAGTTCACCTTTTTTCATGTCCCAAAATTTGAGTCACACTACAATTTTTTTCTCTAACATTCCATTTGTAGCCTCAAAAGAGACATTGATAAAATAAAAAATAAGTATGATGGAACCCACAAAAGCAAAAAATAGACATCCAAAAAAAAGGTGCGTGGACAGCACCAAAAATTTTGATGGCCATAAATAGGCGCGTGCTTGGCAACAGCATGAAAAAGAGCTTACATTTTACATGGACCCACAGATTCTTTTCACATCACCATAGACAGCAATTAAGATTTGATATCGGTCAAAGGGGCACGATTGGAAAAAAATGTCTCACATTCAAATTGATTGAACTGTGCATAATAAGTTAGAATCCCCAAAAACGTCCCTTATTTTGGGACGGAGGGAGTACTAAGTATATTGTTGTGGCTGGACTGGATGATAGTCGTCTCTAGTACAGTAGTATCAAATTATCAATTTCCGTGTCCGTTTTTACTGTGAAATTCTGATGGTTGATTAAGAAAGTGACAGAAAGAAATAATTAGCAATGCATGTCACTCACCCCCAAATATTCCCCCTTTTTTTTTTAAATTTTTATTTTTTTCCGCTCTCTCTTCAATATTTTACTGATACCCCACTCGACATCATTACCACGATCTCATCATTTCCAACTCCATGTGTTTTAATTTGTACACCAAGTACTAGCTAAAGTTGCCGTATTATATTAACCAAGTACCTTTTATTATTTTTAATTATATATATATATATATATATATATGGGATATATATATATATATAGTTTTTTGTCGTCAGCACTTTTTCTTTTTCCTTGGCCGGTCGGCTGCTTCTCAAAATCTAAATTGACATTGATTTCTTTACACGATCATAGAAAACTTTCTTACCTTTTATCATTATATTTACGTCCCTCTCCGAATTATTAGTCTTCATCCCCACGCAGACTACTATACTTGCAATTGAACTCCAATTGACTTCTGCCAAATTAAACCACCTTTTTCTTTTTTTTTACCTTCTCAACCCCTCTCTCCCACCCAACAACAGGAGGGCCACCCCCCTCCCCTCTCTCTCTCTCAACGGGCACTCCCACACTCTCTCGCTCTCTCTTCCCCTCCTTCCCCCACCCCAAGTAATAGTACTATTAATTATTACATGCGTAGTAGACACACGTATGTTATGTTATTAACTTATTATGTACGTAAATACTATATGTTTTCAAGTGCTTAAATTTGGTGTAGCACGTAAATATATAATCCCAATTTCAATTAACGCACGCATGCATGCATGCCTGCCGGCAGCACATTGATAACCAGACGAACATTGATAGTCGGTATGGACATAATTGATACTTGTGTGGAGTTTTGTTTTGGTGCCAAAATCAAAATGGGTGGCGGGTGTAGCTCAGCTTCATGTATCATCTTCATGGATGGCAGCCGTGCCTTTAGTCGACGAGGTTATAATCATAAAACGAATAATGCGCATTTGCAGTATTATAATAATAACGCATCCCGCCGCGACATCGATCCTGGAGAGTTTAACCCATACAATTCCACGCTCACTGCAGCGCAAAGTTTATTCCCCTGCATGGACGCGCCACGGTGTCTGTCTCTGTGTGCTGTGAGGTGTGGGCCCCCGTCTCCTGAACACGCGTGCAAAGCCGCTGCTCATTTTCTTGGGCTGGGGCTTACGCTGTGGGTCCCAGCTCCCACACGTAAATACTGGACAATTATTATTTTTTATTGTTTACAATCTTATCGTCAACTTCTTTTCAAGTACTACTACTAATCACTAAAGCCTCTCTCGCCTATTGACCTAATATATTAGTTCTGAGTTCCTGTTAATCCCTAACACAAAGTCTCCGAGAGGTTATATAATAGTTGTCAGTCTCCAAATTAAAAAGAAAAGGTACTACTACTAATCACTAATCTATTTTTGTTTCTTTCTGCACTTTGCGTCATGTTTTCTTGTCGCCAGCCCTCTGCTTGTTCCTTTTTTAATCTCTAGCACTAAAAGGGGACCAAAAAAAAATAATCAGAAGTTTACTAAAAGGGGACCTGCTGCAAACTTGGTCTTGCACTCTTAAATACCTTGTTTTCAACTTATTCTGATTTTGTAAAATTGATTCTTGAAAAATCAGGTATTTCAAAATAACTCATATGTTCTCATTTAATGTTAAACAAATTATTTTAATGAATACATCGATGTTCTCCAAAACAGTTAAAAAGTTGATTTTTACAAAAAAAAAAAAAAAAATTCAAATTACACTTATATGCTACATAAATGAATTTTTGTGTTAATTAAATAATTTTTTATATAATTATTTACTTTTCTTATGAAAATTAAAAATTTCGAATGAGAAACCAAAAGGGGGACACACGTGAATTAGGATGTGGGATGATCATGAGAGGAAGATAGAGAGTGACATGCCGCATAAACAAAAAAATTATCCAATCTTTAGATAGTTTTGCAATTATGTTGAAATTTGAGAGGTATTTTTTTTTCCTTGAATCAGGACGGAATCAGAATCTAAAAGCACCTCAAGAACTACTTCTAATTTTCAAACTATTCTACGCAAAAAATAATAAATAGTAAGTCATTTTTTTCAAGATAACATGTTAGAAATGCACCAATTAAGTAGTTTGATGAAGCCTTTTATCCATGAAGTGGGATATAGCACCAAAAGTCGAAACTGAAACTGAAAATTGATTGAAGCTGAAACTCGAGGAACCCCCGGGCGGAAGGGATGCGTTCGGTTCGAGTCGAGTTCGACTCGAAGTAAAATAACTAAGCTCGAGATCGAGCTCAAGCTCTTCGAGCTTTTAGAATTCAAGCTCGAGCTCGAACTCGACGTCAATTTACGTTACTCGAGCTCGAGTTTAATTAAATCTAATCAACTCAAATCAAGCTCAATCGAGCCTATTCGAGATCAATCAAGTCTAATCAAGCTCACGTAATAAAAATTAATATTTTACATATAATTTTAAATAAAAGATATTATTGACATTTCACAATAATAAAAATTAAAATATATATTAAAAAAAAACTCGATTAGACTCGTCGAGCCTTCGAGTGTAAAATATTAAAACTTGAACTCGACTCGCTGTTTCTATCAAGCCGAGCTGCTGACCGAGTAGCTTGCGAGCTCGAGTCAAGCTACTCGGTCCAGCATCAGCCCGTGGGAGGCGTGATTCACAGCGTCACAAGTCACCTTAACTTTAAACCACAACTTTAAAACATAACCATCTCCAGCCATCTTACCCATGATCTCAAATTATTTATTAACCACTGAATTCTTTTTCTCTTCATATTTCCCATCTTGATAATCACTATAATTTGATAATCGTATTGAATAACGCCACGTGCATCAAAGTAGAACACAAATACCAGAGTCAAAGACTGAGTTCAACACTAAACAACTTTGTTCCCAAGAGAGTTCACATTGTACACTTACTACTAAAGTACCGAGTACTAATATGTTCGTGCTTATTTGAAACAATATCTCCTTTTTTTTTATTTGAAACAATTTAAGTAGTACTTTTTTTTTTTTGCGCAAAATAGTCACTATCAGTGTATGATTCTTATCCATCGAAGGCTCACTCCACCACTCTCTAAAAAGGGCGGCGAAAAAAGTACAAGAGATATGCACAATCTCATTATTCCTGAAGACCTCGATTTGCTTGTACAATTAAATTAGGTTATAAAAAAAAAAAAAATTTACATGAAGCAATCTGAGTACATCAATATGGGGGGGAGGGGGGGCCAGGAAAACTCAGAAGTTACAAGAAAGAATACGGGAAATTCAGCATCATATTAGGGAGTGTTATGAGATAAAAAATAGTAGTAGTTAGCTACTAACAGGGGCCTGTCGCTCACCATCAAAGTAGGTTTCAGTTACCAACTTACCATCAGCCATTAGTAGCAATCGGAAGATAAAAAGTGGGCATTCCTCCTCCTACTATAATGTTTGACCACTAAGACAGTCTTGGGGAATAAGAACATAATAACAACAAAATTGAAACACATTTGCTTGCTGCAGTCAGACCTAGCTCTCGATGATCATTACCTTTCATCTCTTACCAAAATCAAAATGCCAATTAAAAAGCAATTAGACTGATCATCAAGACAAATATGTTTTAACAGGACGAACAAATAAAACATCATAACCTAATCCTGCCACCTCCTCCCATTTCTCCAAGAACTGATTTATTCTGCAAATAAACAAAGCCATGAATCAGCTGGGGGCTTCTTTCTTTAATCTTTACCTCTTTTACTCCATCCATAAGGAGAGTGGTGTTTGCTGCTGTTATAAATCAGTTGTGGAGAGCTAGGAACTTGATTGTCTTCAAAAACAGACATGTTTCTGCTGTTGACATTGCTCCTGAAGTACTGGAGTTGGTGATAAATGTGACTGCAGAGTGGAAAGGAATCCCTCGTACAAAGTTGAATTGAGAAATGGCTGTTCAATTGAGTTTGGCTCATGTCTGTTTTAGCAGCTGAGTTGCTTCTGTTCTTAAAATTGTGACATGATGATATAATTTTTCGAACTGCTTTGTTCCTGTTGTATAAACTTTATTGCCTTGATCAATAAAATGCTCTATATTTGCCACAGAATTTTTTTTTTAAAAAAAAAAAAAAAAACTTTTGCTTCACCTCTCCTATGCGCACACCTAATGCATCAACCCTTTGTATTTTACATAACATAATCATTTGAACTGAAGCAACTGCTTCTGTTATTAATTAGCCAAGGCAGTTCCGTAAAGATGCTCTTGCAGATTATCTAGCATCCAGGCACCATGACATCGCTTTCATAAAAAATGGTTAACCACTTTTATCATCTAACTTAGCTATTACCCACTAGTTGCTAATGAAACACACACAAAAAGCCACAGCTAGTCCACAGAAGAACATGCTAATTTCCAATCAAAAGATCGCTATTCTCATCAACCTCAACATACCATGTCCAACATCCATCCGATACTAGATCTCAAAAGATTATCAGTCAAGGATCCTATTTACGATGGAAAATAAAATTGACACGTTTCAAGAATAATGATCTACATGGCAGAGTAAAATGCAGTTATGTAGTTGGTGCGTCAATTCTATTCTCCATCATGACAATAACCACACAACATGTTCATTCTAAGAAAGATCAAGAGTTGCTTTCATAAGCTAACGGGTTATTACCAACCTGGTCCAGTGCAACATATATACAAGATTAAGTTTCCGTATCCAAGAACAAATGTTCGTGGATTAAGGGGAAAATAATTCACCGTCAAGCAAAATAAAAGGGATGCTAGCTTTTCCAGCTCCCAGGAGCAAGATATTGCCATGTCAAAAAGATTTCAGCCGACTAGTTACTATAGACCTCACAATCTAACCAACCGAGAATTCAGGAGCAATAATGTCAGCAGTCACAATTAGTGATTGCCGACATCAGCCTAGCCACCAAGTCCTGTTCATGAAATCCAAGTAAAATTTTGTCTTTGCCTATCGAAGAACCTCTTTCCGCATTTCAAGTCAAAATTTGGCTGATTGTTCTCTAGCGTAAGTGGGTGGTTTGCCATACCTTCAGGCATGCTTCGGATTAGATCGTCGCAATAATGATGGCATGGTAAGACCAAATACTGAGTAACGAAGAAAATTTCACGCTAGCAATGAAACACATTGATGTGAATGCTGTGGATTCAAATATTTTTCAAATCTTTCACCAAAAAGATTAGCACCACTATAATGTTGTCTGCTCGTATTAGTCTCATGTGCAAGGTTCACGAAATAAAAAAGAACAGATTCTTATCCCAAATAGTTGAGTATCCTCTCTAAAGGTGATGATACATAATCATTGTCCAAAAGTATAGGCCTAACGTGCAACTGTTACCATCACAATGTCCACAGGAATTCAAGATCACAACTTCTTCTAGCTATATAATGGAAAGATGGACGTCTTGTAAAAATACTGCAGACACCTGATATAATGTTTTACTTTTTTCAAAACTTTTAGATATGTTGATAAGATCCTCTCAGTAGCTTTCCCGCGTGATAAAAGTAATTTAAAAAATAAAAAAAGGCACAACTAAAAGGCAGCACAGGTCTTTTGGGAATACACTGAAGAAAGCAAAACTTCCGAACTTTATGGATCAAAAAGAAAGACAAATTATAATGAGAAAAAGCTAAAATGGCTTTGAAGTAATAGAACAAGGTTAGCAGCGATATGAAGTGAAGGATTCTATGCTCAGGACTGGCAACTACCATTCTCATATGTAATATACCATTTAAATTTGGCATTTTAAGACATATTACACTTGTCGGCCTTGATAATTATCAAAAACAAAATTAGTTTTTTCATATGCGTTTATACACAAAATGTTAAATGAGTAGTTGCCCATATTTTTTCTCATAGAAGAAGTGAGAAAACAAAAGAATGAAACGATGTGTCTTTCTTCCTTTCTGTTATCTCCCATTTCATCATTTATTTGTGTGTTTCATTCAAAGTCCATCAAAATAAACAGAATCTCAATAAAAAGGCATTGTCGCGGTGATTATAATGATTTATTAACAATATTAGTTACCTCACCCTATCACTTTGTTGCATATATATCATACTAGTTCAGGAATATTCACAAACTTTTGGTTTATGCTAAAACAGTGTGTGCCCCCAAAAGCAAGAAAATAGGTTAAGAGCAGTCGGAAAAAAACAAAATCAAATGATAATCTCATGCACTAGATAAATTAAGTTCACAGTCTCCAATAAAAGCTTTTCCAACTTTTATCTCACAACTTCAACAAATAGGTAATCATAGGGTTAAGAAAGAATATTGTATACAAACTAAATATCCAAGAAAATTAAATTACAAGCAGATAGACTAAATCAGCCCCTACTTAGGAGCGAACTAGCTAATCATGGATTGCCATGTGAAACTATTAATACAACACAGAGTTTAAACAAGAGCCATACCAAAGAAAAATAAGCCAATTATATTAAGACCCCAAAAGTACAGACCAATTTCAAATATCCTGGATATTAGCCAAATAATTAAGCATTGACCACTACTAATATTAACAATAGTTAGCAGACATGTATCAGAGCTGACGGTAATAGAAGCTGAGACTAGAAGTTTTAGTTATTATCAATTTTAAATAATTTTTTTTTTTTTTTTTTTAAAAAGGGACAAATTCTACATGATAAGGATTCAATCCAGAACAAATCCCCACATTGAATTGGGCAAGAGGCTGAGTACTATAACAGGCCTCCAGTATCAGCAGGGTAGCACTCTTTAGTACTAATAATTAAGAAACAAAGAAAAACGGAATCTACATTAACTACAATCTCATATTTACAAAGACTGAGCACCAGAATCATAGGATAGGCAAAAACAGAGACAGTGAAAAGCTCATTCCAGAAAGAATTTAAAAAAAAAAAAAAAAATTGCAACGAGAAAGAAAAGAAGAGAGAAAAACAAAATACCAAAGCTAAACAGGCAGCAGAAAGACTAAATCTTTTTCAACGTAAAAGACACGAAACAAAATACGCAATGTTAATTAAGAGAAATGAACGGCAGCAAAAGGTTACACTAGGAAGTAAGCAAAGCAGGGGTATAATGAAGCTAAACTAGTGCGATTGAAAAGTTTAATCCAGGGGAAACTAGCATAGATTTGATGGGAAAATGAAGAGGAGGAGAAAAGTTCTTTGGTTCGTCACCTTAAAAAGGGAAGGAATCTGCAAAGACTAAAACCCCAAAAGCGATTGGGGAATGACGGGGGACAACTGATAGCTCCTCTTAGAGTTTGCCTGCTTTCCTCTTTCCAAACAAGGGTGGCAGTGGCTGTCCTCCTCCTCCTCCTCCTCCTCTGGTAATCTCTGGGCTGGCCTCCCTAACTCACTCGTCTCGACTTCCCAATTATTAGTGTAGCAAGTACTAGATTTATACACAACATTTTATAAAATTAAATAAATTAATGCAAAATTCGCATTTCTTATAAACCACAATAAGAAGCGATTCTTGCTATTCCTCATTTGTTGCTAAAAGTACAACCAAAGAAGCGTGCAATCAGCAATAATATGACTCTCTCTCTTTCTTTTTTTCTTTTTTTTTTTTTTGTTGTTGTTGTTAACACTCTTTTACATTTTTGCTAGCTAATATAAATAATTTAGTACATAAAAACCATTCATAAGATTGGGGCATTTCGATAGAAATCAATAATAACAAAAGGCATTTTCAAATTTACCCGAAGGAGAATGCGTCCCCACATGAAAGAGAATGGCTGTGTTGGGAGTCTGTAACTCTTGATGGGCTAGCAACATGATGTGTAGGCTCACCATTGTGGCCCAGCTCTATAGACCCAAAGCCAACTCATAACTTGGAGCCCATTATTCTGCCTGTTAATAAATTTAGTTAAGAATGAATATGTTTACATTTTATTCTTTCATTCTTTCCTGCAACAATAATTAGTCTAGTTATTTTGATCTCCTTCAACCTTTTAATATTGTGTCACCGGCCCTCATGGACCCTACACACACACATATATATATATATGTTTGATTTTCCTTTTACATAGACTCGAGTCTAATTGACAGTTTTGGGCTAGGAATAATGGCAATAGTTTAAAGGAAAATTCTAGCTGCATTTCTGGATCATGACAAAAAAAAAAAAAAAAAAAAAAAAAAAACAAGAACCACCCCAATTGCTGTAACAGATTAAGATTGAGATGCACACGAAGAACCTTCTATAGGTTGACCTTCATTCATCGTACACGACGACGACTACGACCTTACCAACTTTTGTTCGTTGAAGATGAAGATGAAACAGGGATTTTCTTCAGGACACCGACGAATGCAGCTAGAATTTTCAAAGCACTGCCGACGAATGTGCTGTACATGGATATGCAGCTAAATTCCAACGAGTTATAGTAGTATAGAAGACAACTCATGCGCCTGTACAAAGTTTGTCCCCTTGCATTGCAGCTATGGAGGTGACTTTAGTTTAGAGGACCATTGCCTAACCCTATGCGGGCGGGATCTGACTGGTACAGGCGAAAACGCGCATATCAATGCCGGAGACCGGCGACTTGGACCAACTGTTTCCGAACATAAATGAATACTGGTAATACGTAACCTAGAGCTGGCAAAAAAGCCCAAAACCCAACAACCCGCCCAACCCGCCCATTAATTTTAAGGGATGGGTTGGGTCAATTGGGTTATGGGTTTTATTGGGTTGGGTAAGAACAACCCAACTTATTCATTGGGCGGGTTGGATTTTTTATTTGGGTACCCAATATCCAACTTGTTTAAAAGTAATTCAAAATAATAAATACAATATTTAATACACATATGCCCAACTATTTACATTTGGACATGTGTTAATAATTCATTAATTAATCTGTATTCAAAATTCTCATATATATATATATATATAGTCAATCATGTTTTTAAATTTGTATTCAAAACTACAAGAAGTCCTACAACAAAATAACATGTTGAAATTAGAAATGAGAGGCAACTTCTAGGATTGACTTTTTGTGTGGCTGGATGGGCATAATGAAAGCACATACACATTTTATTTCCAATTTAGATATTAAAGAAAAATAAGACTTTGTTTGGATTGCTATTTTTAGGAGTTTTTGTAAAAAATATATATATACTGTAACAATTTGGTGTATGTGAGGTAAAAAGGTAATTGAAAAATGTGTTCACGGAAAATATAAAAATTTTCCATCAAAAAATCACATTCTACAAGTTCTTTGAATTGTGGTTGTAATGTAAATTCAGAATGAAGAAATCAAAATTAGAAACATGTAATTAAGATCAAACAACTTCACCCTATGCCTAGTAGAGAAAATAATAGTTGGTTATGGGACCAAATTTTCAGCACGTAATCAACTTTATTTAGTTGATCCACCTATATATTTTTCTTAAACTGCTTTTAGTAAATAGCCTACACTTCCCTTGCCACCTATATTCTTGTAACACTTTATTTACTAAATCACATGTTTATGTGGAATTGGAAGTTTGGATCCTACTATGAATACGAAAATGTTTCGTTTTCTTTTAAAATATAGCCATGAATTAAAATCTTCATTGTTTCGTTGACGCTGCTTGGAATTGATGGTGGTGGCTAATTCAAATGCAAGTGCTAATCTACCAAGTGATTCTTTGCTTAACAGAATTCTGATATAACATGTTTGAAGAATGAAAAGAATTAGAGAAGTTAAGTTTTGAAAACTTTGTTGATTATAGAAGAAAGAGGGGGGAGGGGGGGGGAACTAATTCCATCGAACTTCAATTAGTAGTATTAAAAAAGTACAACGTAAACAATTTTTTTAACTAATCTATTTAAATGTATAATTTATCATCTAAAATTCACAATACAATCAATATAAAATATTATTCTATTTATGATGTGTTTCCAAGGAACTTAAGAAGTGAGTGTGTGTTTGTATGTGTGAAAATACATTTATGTGTGAAAAAAATCTTTTTGTGTGTTAAAATGTATGTGAAAAAGTTTATGTATCAAAATCTATTAATTAATATATTGGGTCATATTTGGGTCATGGGTTTGAGATGACCCAATGTGACCCAACCCAAAAGTAACCCAATTTAAAGTTGGGCGGGTTGGGTATAACCCATTTAAATAAAAACCCAATATCAACCCGCCCAAAACCGCCCAACCCGCTCAATTGCCAGGTCTAACGTAACCAGTAGGAAGGTAACAACACAAGCAGCATGTGGAAATGGAATGGTAGACAGAGGAGGAGTAGCATCCTTCAAAAAAAAAAAAAAAAGACAGAGTATCAGCATTTCTGTAACGTGCGACTCTATGCACTACAAATTAAACACCCGATTCCGTAACGAAATTTCTTAAATTATGCATGTCTACCGCATTAGGGTAATCCGTCTTTGGAGCCCCCGTTCATTCCCCGGTCTTCGTTTTCCTTCATTGCAGGACTTAGGAATGGAATGATGTTCATTCATTTTTTCTGTAACAATTTCCGACGAGAAGAGAACCCAACGCTTTGTAAGTTTTTAGGGCATATCATATCATATCATGTTTGATTGGATTTTCTAAGAGCCTTGTGTGTGTGTACTAGTATAAACAAACTTTCTACTTCGGACTACCCTAAACCTGCACCTTATCGCGCCTACTACACTTTATTTGGAGGGAATCCAACCGTCGTGCCCGCGTCAGACTCCTCAACATTTGTGCATCTCTCGTTCCCCGCCAGTTTTAGAGTACATTCGGCCTATGACATTGCTCATAAGTTTCTTTCACAGACCAAACTCACCCTTAATCAATCCTACAAATTTAATGCTGCTCCTCGTAGACTAGTACATATTGGGAAAAAAAAAAAGCTCTTTCTCTTACGACTAAAACTACTACCCCTTCTTTAAAAAGAAAAAAAAAAAAAAAAGGTTTACTCTAGCATCAAACCGAACTTTGCTTCGCCGGACACGATAAAAAATCGCGACGGTTCCCTTGCAGAAGAAAATCGTTGACGGAGCAGTAATTTCACTTTCACCACCATTGACTCTTTCACGATCACCCATAGGCCTGGAATGAAAACATATTCACTTTTACAAAGGTAACATGAGAAGATCCACTCATTTTGCGTGCACGGAAAGTAGCTACTAGATGAATGGTTATATAAATTCTCTAGGAGGGAGAAGGGAGAGAAGAATTTCATTTTCCCATTCAACAGTAACAGTACCTGTATATGGTCGGGGGCGGGGCCACGCAAATAGGCATCAATGGAGGGATCATGGGGAAATCAGTCTGATGCTCCCTTGGAGTAAAACTAGAAGAAGAAGAAGCTGAAAAGGACGGGACGGTGATCGTGGTGGGTTTTGCACTGCCTGCTGAACAACCAATCACACCCTTCACGACCTCAGGATTCATCTTAGTTATCACGCTCTGCCATTAATCATCAAAAGAAAAAGGAAAAAAAAATCAACACGGCCTTCTTGATTCTATACGGCTACATGTCTTACCGACTATATATGCATAAACATATATGATCCAAACTAAGCCAGGGAGAAGAAAGGTGTAAGGAGAACCCGGCCACCAACCTCGGAAGCTTCTTCTTCGCTCAGAGAGTTTGTTGCTCATCATCAGAGGCTTTGGCCTAGCTGCCCTGCTCTCTTCTTCCATAGGGTAGAAATCCAGTTCCACGGTAGATCCCCCTGAATACATTGTTTCTGTTCAGCTTTCTAATATGGCGCCCGCCAGCGCCAGTGGGAATTTGAAGAGATGTGCTGGTTGAACGAACAGCAAGGGTTTGCGATGAATAAAAATTGAACCCTCCTACTACTTGGTTACCATACTATTATCACATTACTAGGAGTAGGAGTACCCTTTTTTTTACTTTCATCTTATATCACTTGCCATCATTGTGAAACTTAATACTACTTTGTTTCGATAAAACATTATCTGAAAAAATTATTTCGAGCAACACAGTAACACATTTTATGGTGAGAAGTGTGTGAGGTCATGAAACGGTAGTTAGCAAGATAAAAATGTTACTAAAAATATGTCAACAATGTTAGTAATATAATATTTGCAAATAGTGGAGAATCCAAATACCTTGAATAGAAGGTTAATTAGAAAAATGATTTGTACTAATACTGCTAATATTTTTTATGATGTAATGTGTATAAGATGAAATTTATATAAAAAAAAATAAGTTGTTGAAAAATGTACTATGATGCGCACAAAATAATATTTATAGATAATGATGAATCCAAATACCTCAACTATTTCTTATTTAAAAAAAAAAACACGAAGGTAGCAGACATGGAAGCTGAGCAAATTTTGAAATTTGGTCTGCAAGAACCAACTTAGCTAATAGAGACATTAACTAGCTAGTTATGAGGTCCCTAATTCAACTCTCAAACCTTCGTTTTTTTTCCTTCTTTTTTGTAAGGTGTTAAGTCTCTTTTCAAATTAAAAAAAGGAGTTATTATCACTTTACCCCTTCAATATTTGGTGTCACTTTCAATTACCTCT